GAGTCCTGATTTGCGGTTCTGTAACTCCGCGAGGAGCGGAATGTTTAAACAGTGAAGTTTGCGTGTGGGAAGAAGCATCTAATCCTGGAAGTTTGGAACTTGTGGTAGCGAGACTGGGAGAAAACTATAGAGATTTGTAAGAAAAGATTTACGTGGAAAATTGATAACTACGTGTGAATGAGTTGAGTTAACTCTGGTGTGACTGGTGAATGAGTAACTGAGACGATATGATTGTAAAATGAGTGTGGGAAATATGGAGAATTGTGTATTTTATTGTGAAAATGAATGTGAAACCTTCTTAACTAAGATTTGCCTTGTGAATTGAAAAAAAATCAAACAAAAAACAGCTGGAGGAGGAAAAAGATCAAGTGAAGAATTTGCAAATTGCTTTTAAGGAGCAACTCCTTGTGAGTACCATCAACAAGGAGCACCCCCCCACACACACACACCCCCGGCTATTTGCCCTGTTAACGATCTGCAAGCGGCGAGAGAAAACTTGGAAAGTTTCCTAAAAATGGAACCACCCTCGCTGCAACCCTTAATTAAAACCGAATATAATTCTGAAGATCAGTGGGATCATTTTCCCTAAATCATAGCTAAAGAAATCCCCTACACCGACACTGAATTGGCAAAACTGAGAAAAGGCTTTGGCCGAACCTAAAGTGGTCAGAGTGGGAAAATAAAGGGCAACAAATCAAGGTTATTAACTTAATATGTGGGAGAATAATGGAGATACAAAATCAATAAGGAAGGGGATGGGGAATAAATATTGGAGAAAGGAGAAGGGTAAATTCACGACTGGCAGAAGATCAGTGTGCTATATGTAAGGAACGTGAGCATTGGAAAAAGAATGCCCTAGAGCTGGGGAATTAGACCAAGCTCTCCAGGCGATCAAATTAATGACCCTGGATGAAGAATCATGAAGAGGACCGGGGGAATCAACCCTAGCTGAACCCCTGGTTACACTGAAGCTAGGGAATGAAGAAATAGAATTTTTAATAGACACGGGGGCTACTTATTCGGTACTGAATACATGCAAAGGGAAATTTAGTCATAAATCAGTAGATGTTGTTGGTGCGACAGGGCAAAAAGAAAATCGGCCTTTCCTATAGCCGCTAAAGTTTAAATTGGGAAAACAGTGGGTAACTAACTCACCAGTTTTTTGTATATGCCTGAATGTCCATTACCCTGGCTAGGACGGGATTTTTTTTAAGCAAATTAAATGCACAAATAACTTTCAAGGATGGAGAAATTAAGTTACTAATACCAGAATCAAAAGCCGTAGAGGCAAGAGTGTTTATATTACAGGATTCCCCTAGAGAAGAACAGATTCCAGAAGAAGTGGAAAATGCAGTAATTCCTCTGGTTTGGGCAAGTGGAGTTCCGGGACGATCTAAATTGGCAGAACCGGTAAAAGTGACTTTAGAACCTGGAGCTAAACCGGTAAGACAAAAACAATATCCTATTAAGTGGGAAGCTCGAAAAGGATTGGAGGAGCTAATTACAAAATTTCTAAAGCATGGGCTACTGGTAGAATGTGAATCAGAATATAACACTCCCATATTGCCAGTAGGAAAATCTGGAGGCAAGGAATATCGATTAGTTCAGGATTTAAGGGCCATAAATCAAATAGTTCAAGATATACACCCAGTAGTGGCTAATCCATATACTTTGCTGACCTCCTTAAAGGAGGAACATAAATGGTTTACTGTACTAGATTTAAAGGATGCCTTCTTTTGCATACCTCTGGATAAAAAGAGCCAAAGCATATTTGCTTTTGAATGGGAAAGCCCCACCACAGGACGCAGAACACAACTTACATGGACTGTACTTCCACAAGGATTTAAAAACAGCCCTACGATATTTGGGAATCAATTGGCAAAAGAATTAGAAATATGGAAGAAACAGAACCAAGAGAGGGATGTATTGTTACAGTATGTGGATGACATTCTGGTAGCAGCAGAAAGTAAAGAAGAATGTTTTGAAATTACTATCAATTTACTAAATTTTCTAGGCCAAGAGTTTCCAGGAGCAAGGCACAAATAGGGAAGGAGACAGTGATTTATTTGGGATTCGAGATATCACAAGGACAGAGGCAACTCGGAAATGAAAGAAAAGAAGCCATCTGTCAGATTCCCCAACCCAGCAGCCTGAAGGAATTGAGAGCTTTTTTGGGAATGATTGGATGGTGCCGACTCTGGATCCTGAACTATGGACTGTATGTGAAGCCACTATATGAGGCTTTGAAAAAGTCTAAAGATTGGTATTTGATTTGGACACCTGAATGTCAGAAATCATTTAAAGAACTTAAAAGAGCATTGATGATGGCCCCTGCATTTCGGTGACAGGAGGCCACCTAGCACCGAAACTTGTGATACTTTGTGAATAAACAACATCTCGTCTCAGTGTGTGACGATCAGTTCATTGCACACTGGGTAAACAAACCCTATTTGGGACAACAATAATACTACTGCACAGCCAAATCCAATCATCAAACAGAAAGCTGAGAGGGCTAAAATAAGATTTGAAAAGAGAAACGTGTCACTGAAGTCAGATTCTACAATCTTCTAATTTCTTTCCAATCTAAGAAAACCATGACGAAGTCTAAGGGACAAGAAGAGATCCTATTTTTCTTCAGGCTTTTAAACTCCATGATGTATTTGAAACTAGAGGTGTTGAAAGAAAATAAATCCACTTTCCTAGGAGTCTGTTTTCAAAAATGTTCCCATTAATAATAACTTTGTTACCTTTGTACCAAGATGAAAGTCAGGGTTTAAGTCTAGGATGTTTCAAGCTCCTAGCCAAAACTGAGCTCTGTCTCTCTTCTCCAGGCATATGCTCCAACACCAAATGATGAAGGCTGACAAAGAATAGGGGTGAGGGAATATATCTACTGAAGGGATGCTAAAGGGTAACCTTTGTGAAGCCAACTGTAGCTAGAATGTGCTGATAGCTGTAGGATGAGGCTCACAGTGGGAGATGCCAACCTGTCTGGGAGCTTTCGAGATGGTATCTCTTTGTAACAGGATTAACAGATCCTGAATGGGTTCTTCAAGTCACTCTCAAGCTACCCCCAAGATAAGTGCAGAAGGACCAGGCCTTGCCCCTCAGTAGTCAACTTATAACCATCTATGAAGAAGAGCCCAGAGGTCATGGAAGACAACCTCTCCACAATGACCACTGGGGACCCCCAAAGACCACCGACTCAACTCACTGAGCATGCGTGATTGGGAGGGGAATATGTAAATGAATTTCGGGAACTCATTGTCATATGTGTGTAAAACTTGTATATAACCTATGCAAGTAACCCTGTGGGGCACGCACATTAGGAGGAACTATCCCCTGTTCGTCCAGCGCTGCAATAAAGAATACCTGCTTGATAGTCTGGAAAATTGACTGTTGATTCCTGATTTTGGCTTTTCACTGCTTCACTACCCTGGGACAGCACGGAGTCTTGAAAATGTTACCACCACCACTGGATTAGTGCGTTACATTCTCTAATTATGGTTCTTTCTAAACTGTGATTACTGTCAATGTATTCATGCATGAAGATGAATACCAGGTTGTTGCTTAAAAGTTGCTTAGGGAAGCCCAGAATGCAGACAAGGTTCCATTAGGAGTATGGTGAATGCTTCCTCCTTTATTCAGAGTTACAGACATATTTATACTGAGGGATGGGGTCCACATGACATAAACAATGCTTTCATTGGTTCAATAACATTGTCCACGTGCCTCTAGATACATGCTGATTGGTCTAACACACAAACACACGCGCTATCATATGCAAGCCTTGCAATTAGAGTACAACCTGGTTATTCTGCAAGCTTTGCGATTAGAGCACATCTTGGTTAGTCTTATCAAGTTCCTTTGTTCTAGTTTACAATACGTGCGAATTCCTCCTTTCAGGGCCCCAAGGACACATTGTTCTTATCAAAGCCGGGATTGTCCGTGAAAAGAACTTAAAAGAGCATTGATGATGGCCCCTGCATTTCGGTGACAGGAGGCCACCTAGCACCGAAACTTGTGATACTTTGTGAATAAACAACATCTCGTCTCAGTGTGTGACGATCAGTTCATTGCACACTGGGTAAACAAACCCTATTTGGGACAACAATAATACTACTGCACAGCCAAATCCAATCATCAAACAGAAAGCTGAGAGGGCTAAAATAAGATTTGAAAAGAGAAACGTGTCACTGAAGTCAGATTCTACAATCTTCTAATTTCTTTCCAATCTAAGAAAACCATGACGAAGTCTAAGGGACAAGAAGAGATCCTATTTTTCTTCAGGCTTTTAAACTCCATGATGTATTTGAAACT